TTAATTACAATCCAAATTCAGTGCTGTATCAAGCTTGAATGTTGTGTCCATACACTACAAAAGTCTAAAAGTCTGAAAAGACCAGTTTTTGTCTTAATTTGCATGAACTTTTACTCTACATTCTCCAAAAGTATGACTTGTGTCTTAATTTTTCTTGACAAATTCTCATTTATATTAAATTTGTATGAAATTTACTCGACATATTCTCGACATTCTGAATATGGTCTTAAAATTTCTTGACAAATTCTTGACATTTGAATACTGTCTTGAAATTTCTCGACATATTCTCGACATTCTTATTTTTTCTCAGTATGGCTTGACATATTCTGAACATTTTGAATCGTGTCTTAAATTTACTTGACAGTTCTGAGTTTTACAAATCATGACCAATATTCGTGATATAACTTTAATCTTTATTTCTCTTTATATGATATACTGTTGTTTCAAGTTACACCTCTTTACAACAAAAATAAAAGTTAGGCATGTAAAATAATTGAAAATTTGGGTATATAAATATTTTTACAAATGCAAATATGGCTATGAAATCTAAAGTATAAAATAATTCAAATGTGGGTGTGTTGATATAAAACAATTTCAATGTGGGTTTTTAAATAATTACAAATTTTGATTCCTAAATCTTATAAATTAAATGATTCAAACCAATCATACTGTAGACATATTTCATTCTACATTCATAATATTCAATGTTGATATGGTAAATAATTATTATACCAAAATGTGGTTTATATAAATAGCAAATTATGATGATATACAAATCATTCATTTAACAGAAGAAAAATTAGTGTAATGTCATCTGTTGGAATATATTAAGTTTTACACATGGACAGGATGTTCCCCATAAAATTAAGGTATTCCACACCCCAGAGTACACGCAACTGTCAAACAGAAGTTATTGCTTTACCTGTAATCAGCCATACAACTTATCAGTTGACCGACCATGCCACTACAATTTAAAAAGTTTGTTGATAGATGAAAATGAAAATCATCATTTTGATGAAAAAAAAATTGAATTGAAATGGATTTTCTTCATCAAAATTATGAAGTTAATTATTTTAACATAAAAACAAATTGAATAATTCCCAAAGATTAAAAGAAAATTATTATCTACACCAGGAATAATAAAAAAAATGTATTTATAATGGGTCCCATCAATGATTTCTATAGAAATCATCGGTCTTATGAAATGGTTGTCAAACAGACATGCATAATATAGATCTAAAAAAAAATTTCTTTTCAGGAAGGAGTTATCACAAATATTTATTTTTGATAAAAAATTATAAAATTCAACACTCAAATTTGATTAAAAAATGTTTCTGGGTTGTTTTAAAAAATGAATAAGGTTTTTGAATCAAGATGGGAACAAATTCTTTGACCTAAACGAAAGCCCCCCCTCTTTTTTTATCCACACAAACCCAAAAGATGAATTGTGGGGTCCAAAAGAGATACAAGACACCTATTTTAGTAAAGCAAATTTGACTGGCAGTTTTGCGAACGGCAAAAATCTAAATGCTGTTTGTCAATACCTTCGACTTATATTCCAAGTGAAAACAAAATGTTTAATAAAAATAAATCAAAATTAAACTACAAGGGGGATTATTCAGGGTATTCCAACTTAGTTGCACCAAAAGGGTATCTTACTTTACCAAATTAATCCTTGATTCTTCAAAGTTTAGTTTAGCCATAATAAAAAGGAGTATAGATGCAACAGCAATAGAATGTCATAAACAGTGCAGAATAAGTCTGTTCACATTTCAGGCGAAATTTATACTGTTGAGATAGTGTCAAGACATATTTAAGACTGTCAAGAATGTGTCGAGACATATTCAGACATTATTTAGAATGTCAAGAATATGTCGAGACATATTCAGACATTATTAAGAATGTCAAGAATATGTCAAGACAGATCGAGACAAATTTAAGACAGTCAAGAATTGGTCGAGACTAATCCAGACTCTTATCAGATGATACAGGAAGTGTCGAGAAATTTTAAGACAATGTTCATACTGTCAAGACACTTGTCAAGAAAAATCAAGAACCTTATTAGACAAATTCATACTATGTCAAGAATTTTTAAAAATTATTCAGACAAATTAAGAATGTCGAGTAAAAATTCATGCAAATTCAGACAAAAACTGGTCTTTTCAGACTTTTTGACTTTTGTAGTGATACTTGCCCCAACTGTTCAGGGTTCGACCTCTGCGGTCGTATCAAGCTGTGCCCCAGCGGAGCATTTTATTGTTGCTAGGGATGAGGGATGGATATATACCCTGCCACGTCCTGTCTGTGTTTTTGTTCTGATCTGATGAGTTAAGCCTTTTTCAACTGATTTCTATAGTTTGTTCTTATGTTGTGCTGTTACATCACTGTCCCAGGTTAGCAATGGTTAGGGGGAGGGTTGAGCACTCACAAACATGTTTAACCCCGCCACATTCTGTATGTGCCTGTCCCAAGTCAGGAGCCTGTAGTTCTGTGGTTGTTGTTGGTTCATGTCTGTCATATTTGTTTTTCCTAAATTGTTTTGTCATAAATTAGGCCGTTAGTTTTCTCAGTTGAATGGTTTCATATTTTTCATGTCAGGGCCTTTTATAGCTGACTATACGGTATGGGTTTTTATACGACCGCAAAAAAATTTTTGTGGTCGTATATTGGTATGACGTTGGCGTCGTCGTCGTCCGGCGTCGTCGGCGTCGTCGTCGTCGTTGTCGTCGTCCGGCGTCGTCCGAAGACACTTGGTTTTCGCACTCTAACTTTAGTTTAAGTGAATGGATCTTTATGAAATTTTACCACAAGGTTCAATACCACAACAGGAAGGTTGGGATTGATTTTGGGGGTTATGGTAATAACAGTAAAGGAATTAGGGGCCAAAAAGGGGCCAAAAATAAGCATTTTTGTAACTTCCAGACATAACTTGTGTGTTAGTGTATGGATCTCTCTGACATTGTACCACAAGGTTCCATATCACTAAAGGAATGCTGGGATTGATTTTGGGGGTAATTGCCCTAAACGTTTAGGAATTTGGGGCCAAAAAACACATTTTTTTCTAGTTTCCAGACAATAACTTGTGTTCAAGTGTATGGATCTCTCTGAAATTGTACTGCAAGGTACCATACCACAAAGGGAAGGCTGGTATTGAGTTTGGGGGTGATGAATCATAATGGGGGTTCAAAAAATTTTGGGGGGGGATTTATTTTTTTTTCCTTTTTTTCTTTTTTTCCTTTTTTGTTTCTTTTAAAATTTTCCATTTTAAGTTGGTTATTTCTGATTTATATTTAAAATCAAATAATAATGATATGGTAGGAGATACACACCAAACAGGATGTGTAAATTATTATATAATAAGTATTGTGCAATAGCAAGAAATTTTCAATTGCACAGTATTGCACAATAGCAAGAAATCTTCAATTGCACAGTATTGCGCAATAGCAAGAAATCTTCAATTGCACAGTATTGCGCAATAGCAAGAAATATCCAATAGCACAACATTGCGCAATAGCAAGAAATTGTCAATTGTACAGTATTGCGCAATAGCAAGAAATATTTAATAGCACAGGATTGTGCAAAAGAAGATACTTCCTATAAATTGCTTATTTCTTGACCAATTTCAATGGGGTTTTATTCTTGATTTCATGGGGTTCTTTAATATGCTGAATCTAACCGTGTATTTAGTTTTTGGATTTTGGGCCCCGTTTTTAAATTGGTCCACATTGAGGTCCAAAGGGTCCAAAATTAAACTTTGTTTGATTTCATCAAAAATTTAATTATTGGGGTTCTTTGATATGCCAAATCTAACTGTGTATTTAGATTCTTAAATTTTGGTTCCGTTTTCAAATTGGTCTACATTAAGGTCCAAAGGGTCCAAAATTAAACTTAGTTTGATTTTAACAAAAATTGAATTTTTAGGGTTCTTTGATATGCTGAATCTAAACATGAATTTAGATTTTTGATTATGGGCCCAGTTTTCAAGTTGGTCCAAATCGGGGTCCAAAATTAAACTTTGTTTGATTTCAACAAAAATTGAATATATGGGGTTCTTTGATATGCTGAATCTAACCATGTATTTAGATTTTTGATTTTTGGGCCCCGTTATCAACTTTGTCCACATTGAGGTCAAAAGGGTCCAAAATTAAACTTTGTTTGATTTCATCAAAAATTGAATTATTGGGGTTCTTTGATATGCCGAATCTAACCGTGTATTTAGATTCTTAATTTTTGGTTCCGTTTTCAAATTGTTCTACATTAAGGTCCAAAGGGTCCAAAATTAAACTTAGTTTGATTTTAACAAAAATTGAATTCTTAGGGTTCTTTGATATGCTGAATCTAAACATGTATTTAGATTTTTGATTATGGGCCAAGTTTTCAAGTTGGTCCAAATCGGGGTTCAAAATTAAACTTTGTTTGATTTCAACAAAAATTGAATATATGGGGTTCTTTGATATGCTGAGTCTAACCATGTATTTAGATTTTTGATTTTTGGGCCCCGTTATCAACTTTGTCCACATTGAGGTCAAAAGGGTCCAAAATTAAACTTTGTTTGATTTCATCAAAAATTGAATTCTTGGGGTTCTTTGATATGCTGAATCTAACCATGTATTTAGATTTTGGATATTGGACCATAATAGGTGAATGTCCAATTTAAAATTTTTAAGTTCTTAGACCACATTCAATCTGTGTTAGAAACCTATGCTGTGTCAAATATTTAATCACAATCCAAATCCAAAGCTGTATCAAGCTTGAATGTTGTGTCCATACTTGCCCCAACTGTTCAGGGTTCGACCTCTGCGGTCGTATCAAGCTGCGCCCTGCGGAGCATTTTATTCTCATTGTTGAAGGCTGCACAATTGCCTATAATTGCTTACATCCACTTCATTTGAACTTTGGTGGATAGTTGTCTCAATGGCAATCATACCACATCTCCTTATTTTTATATGCATGTTTAAAATTCACATTATTCTTAAAATATTACTGCAATGTTTTTACAGGAAGTAAAGATGTCTTTGTTTCCATGCCAACAGGTGCTGGAAAGTCATTATGTTACCAACTTCCAGCAGTGGCCAGTGATGGAGTATCAGTGGTAATTTCCCCTCTATTAGCTTTGATGCAGGATCAGTTAGATCATCTGGATGCTATAAAAATACAGGCTGAGACAATTAATTCCAAATTGACGGAAAAAGAACGAAAACGGGTTCTTGTTGATCTCAATAGCAGTAATCCAAAAACCAAACTTTTGTATGTGACACCTGAACAGGTAGCTACAGATGGATTTAAATCATTGGCAGAGTCACTGATGAAAAGAAAGTTGTTCAAATACTTAATTGTTGATGAAGCACATTGTGTTAGTCAGTGGGGTCATGATTTTCGACCTGATTATTTAAAGTTAGGTTATTTCCGTAAACGTATTCCAGGGGTTCCCTGTATAGCTTTGACTGCAACTGCAACTGAGCAAGTTCTAAAAGATATAATCAAGCAGTTGAAATTAAAGGAACCATTAGCTAAATTCAAAACCAGCTGTTTCCGACCAAATCTGTATTATGATGTAAAAATGAAAGAGACCTTAGGTGATCCTTACAAGGACTTGTCAGAATTTTGTCTAGAAGCTTTGAACAGATCACAAGCACAAAAAGAAGAACTATTAGAAAACTGGGTAAGCTATTTAGCCCAGATTTATAATACACTGTTGGTTGTAACATTTAATTTTAAAATCTGTAAAATATTTTATAAAGCAATATTAACCACGAACCATACACACAAACTTTAAAAAGGCATTTTAAATTATGTTAAAAATCCATTTTGGCTTGTTGGCAAAAAGACAGCAAAGTTCAGGAAATAAAGAAAAAAAGTTTTGCAGATATCAAATAAATATTTTCAGTCTGAATTGGCATAATTAAAGTTATTATCTAATGATTATTTCAATATCGAAATTTTGTATTAATCATTGGATCTTATGGATTTTCACTGGATCTGTGGACATACATCTATATCTGAGGACATATTACTGTATTTGAGGACATATTACTGTGAGGACATATTACTGTATCTGAGGACATACATCTATATCTGATGACATATTACTGCATCTGATGACATATTACTGTGAGGACATATTACTGTATCTTAGGACATATTACTGTATCTGAGGACATATCACTGTATCTGAGGACATATCACTGTATCTGATGACATATCACTGTATCTGAGGACATATGGTATCTGAGGACATATAACTGTATCTTATGACATATTACTGTATCTGAGGACATATCACTGTATCACTTGACATTTCACTGTATCTGATGACATATCACTGTATCTGAGGACATATCACTGTATCTGATGATATATTACTGTTTCTGAGGACAAATCACTGGATATGTGTGACATATCACTGTATCTGATGACATATCACTGTATCTAATGACATATCACTGTATCTGAGGATATATTACTGTATCTGAGGACAAATCATTGTATCTGATGACATATCACTGTATTTGAGGACAAATAACTATCTGATGACATATTACTGTATCTAAAGACAAAACACCGACATATTACTGTAATTTATGAAATATCATAATAATATCTGATGACATATTACTGTGTCTGAGGACAAATCACTGGATCTGATAACATATTACTGTATCTGATAAAATATCATTGTAACTGATGACATATAACTGTGTCTGATGACATACCATTGTATCTGGTGACATATCACTAGATCAGATGAAACATTACCAGTGACATATCACTAGATCGGATGAAACATTACCAGTGACACATCATCAGATCTGAAGACATATAACTAGATATAATGAAACAACACTGAATATGATGACATTTCTAGACCCTGTAGCACAATATCACTGGATCTAGACCCTGTAGCACAATATCACTGGATCTGATGCCATTTCACTGTAAAGAATTGTAAATGAATTAAAGCAGTACATTTTGTATTTCAAAATCAAGAATTGTAATGTTGATTGGCAGTTTTTTCCAGGAATTTGTATTGAATGCAGCAGTATGTTTCACAGTAATTAAGTTATGTAGAACTTTTTTTAATTGTAGTCAGAGTATGGTTGTGGTATTGTTTACTGTAGAACAAGAGATGCATGTGCAGAAGTGGCCTCACAGCTTACTAGAAAGGGTGTTCCTAGCAAACCATACCATGCGGGTCTGAAATCTGGGATCAGAGAGGAAGTCCAGAATGACTGGATGGAAGGCAAATTCCCTGTAATAGCAGCAACTATCAGTTTTGGTATGGGAGTAGATAAACCAAATGTTAGGTAATAATGAAGGAAGATTTTTATACGACCGCAAACAAATTTTTGTGGTCGTATATTGGTATGACGTTGGCGTCGTCGTCGTCGTCCGGCGTCGTCCGAAGACACATTGATTTTCGCACTCTAACTTTAGTTTAAGTGAATGGATCTCTATGAAATTTTACCACAAGGTTCAATACCACAAAAGGAAGGTTGGGATTGATTTTGGGGGTTATGGTACCAACAGTAAAGGAATAAGGGGCCAAAAATAAGCATTTTTGTAACTTCCAGACATAACTTGTGTGTTAGTGTATGGATCTCTCTGACATTGTACCACAAGGTTCCATATCACAAAAGGAATGCTGGGATTGATTTTGGGGGTAATTGCCTCAAAATTTTAGGAATTAGGGGCCAAAAAAGGGGCAAAAAACAAGCATTTTTCTAGTTTCATGACAATAACTTGTGTGTAAGTGTATGGATCTTTCTGAAATTGTACTACAAGGTTCCATATCACAAAGGGAAAGCTGGGATTGAGTTTTGGGGGTAATTGCCGAAACGTTTAGGAATTGGGGCCAAAAAGGGGCCAAAAATAAGCATTTTTCTAGTTTCCAGACAATAACTTGTGTTCAAGTGTATGGATCTCTCTGAAATTGTACTGCAAGGTACCATACCACAAAGGGAAGGCTGGGATTGAGTTTTGGGGTGATGACAATAAGGGGGTTTAAAAAATTGGGGGGGGGGGGGGGTTTCCTTTTTTTCTTTTTTTCCTTTTTTTTTCTTTTAAAATTTTCCATTTTAAGTTGGTTATTTCTGATTTATATTTAAAAGTAAATAATAATGATATGGTAGGAGATACACACCAAACAGGATGTGTAAATTATTATATAATAAGTATTGTGCAATAGCAAGAAATTTTCAATTGCACAGTATTGCACAATAGCAAGAAATCTTCAATTGCACAGTATTGCGCAATAGCAAGAAATCTTCAATTGCACAGTATTGCGCAATAGCAAGAAATATCCAATAGCACAACATTGCGCAATAGCAAGAAATTGTCAATTGTACAGTATTGCGCAATAGCAAGAAATATTTAATTGCACAGTATTGTGCAAAAGAAGATACTTCGTATAAATTGCTTATTTCTTGACCAATTTCAATGGGGTTTTATTCTTGAATTCTTGGGGTTCTTTAATATGCTGAATCTAACCGTGTATTTGGTTTTTGGATTTTGGGCCCAATTTTTAAATTGGTCCACATTGAGGTCCAAAGGGTCCAAAATTAAACTTTGTTTGATTTCATCAAAAATTGAATTATTGGGGTTCTTTGATATGCCGAATCTAACCATGTATTTAGATTCTTAATTTTTGGTTCCGTTTTCAAATTGGTCTACATTAAGGTCCAAAGGGTCCAAAATTAAACTTAGTTTGATTTTAACAAAATTGAATTCTTAGGGTTCTTTGATATGCTGAATCTAAACATGTATTTAGATTTTTGATTATGGGCCCAATTTTCCAGGTGGTCCAAATCGGGGTCCAAAATTAAACTTTGTTTGATTTCAACAAAAATTGAATATATGGGGTTCTTTGATATGCTGAATCTAACCATGTATTTAGATTTTTGATTTTTGGGCCCCGTTATCAACTTTGTCCACATTGAGGTCAAAAGGGTCCAAAATTAAACTTTGTTTGATTTCATCAAAAATTGAATTCTTGGGGTTCTTTGATATGCTGAATCTAACCATGTATTTAGATTTTGGATATTGGACCATAATAGGTGAATGTCCAATTTAAAATTTTTAAGTTCTTAGACCACATTCATTCTGTGTCAGAAACCTATGCTGTGTCAAATATTTAATCACAATCCAAATGCAAAGCTGTATCAAGCTTGAATGTTGTGTCCATACTTGCCCCAACTGTTCAGGGTTCGACCTCTGCGGTCGTATCAAGCTGCGCCCTGCGGAGCATTTTATTAACACTTTGCATAAGTTAAACTCCAATTAGCTTTTGTCGGTTCTACGTATATACTGAGTTAGATGTTTTCTTAAAATTTCTAAACAGCAGTACAGTTGAACATTTCCTATCATGATTTCCTTGATACAGGGTTGCTGCTTACAAGGAAGCTATTGAACCAAGAATTCCAAGTGGTGAAGTTGAAATCATCCTTTCTAAAAATTTTAAGGACGCCATCACAAGTTGGTTGACTGTTATGGAGTCAAAAGATACCAAAGGGACAATCAATCTCATAAGTCTAAAAATAAACTGACAACAATATGGCAAAAAACGACCCAAAGACAAACAGCAGTATAAACACAAAAACTCAACATAGAAAACTAAAGATTGAGCAACATGAACCCCACCAAAAACCAGGGATGATCTCAGATGCTCTTGAAGGGTAAGCAGATACACATATGACACCCATTTTGTTGCTCATATAAGTACAAACCTGCAAGTTCATCGGTCAAGCTCCTTATTAACAAATCAAAAATGTCGGTTTGGTCCGATCCTTGTATTAAAGTGATATACTTGCAAGTCTGCATCTCCATTGTCTGATTCAATTAAGTTTCCCCCCGTAAATTCACTGTTCAAGTCCTGTCAAAGTCCTATTCCGAAATTTAATTGTAATCATAATTGAGTTTCTATTATATGTACACTCGATTCCTTTGAACTGTTGAACTAAATCAGATTACGGGAACGTCATCATCCCGGTCTTCAGACTCATCTGCATTTGATGTGGTCTCTAAAGAGAATCCCAAATTACAAAAACAATGAGCACAGGTGTCAGCAGGGTTTGGTTAGTTCAGGGTGAATTAACATTAATTTATAGGGAAATTTCATGGGACTTTGGAAATTGTTCAGTTTAAAGTGAAATTGGGTTTAAACAGGGTTCAGTATTTTGGAGCTTTCACTGTAACAACAGAAGAGCAATTACTGAGTTAATGTTAGTCATGACCCAGGCAATCTGTACGTTGTTGTGTGTCTTTAGATTCTTTGTGCATTTGTTTTTTTTCAGAAGAGTCTGATATTGATGTAGGTGGTTGATGTGGTCTGTTGAAATGTCCAGTATTTTTGGAGATTGATGTTGTCCTTTTGTGTAATATTCAAAAAGAGACAACTGTATTTATCCTACATATCAGTGTTTTGGCAATAACACCTGGTTTTAAATTTTAGATGGGGTAAAGGAGTGAATTGTGACATGAACTCCCTGACAAAATATTTGTTTTCTACTTTAGATTTGTAGCTCATTGGACCTTACCCAAATCAATGGCAGGATACTACCAAGAGTCTGGCAGAGCTGGTAGAGATGGGAACCAGTCCTACTGTCGTTTATATTATTCCAGACAAGAGAGGGATACTATAAGCTTCCTCATAAATAAAGAACTAAAAAAATTTACAAGAGTAAGTATTGTTATACCTTATATAAAAACACCATTCAAACTGTATTATGCTGAGGGATTCGTAATATGGCTGTGATTTTTGTCAGACGTACTGTGGATTCATTTATTTTCGTGGTTACCAATTTTTGTGGATTGAGGAAAACTTGCATTTTCGTGGATGTTTGATTACATAGTTTTGCCAAAGTCTACATATATTTGTATAGAAAATATTTATTTTGTTGAACATTTAAATTTGTGATTCCCCTGTACCCATGAAATCCACAAAAATTGGTATCCAACGAATAATACAGAATCCACAGTATATCAGCAACAACCATAATCACAGGCTATCTCAGCTTTGTCATTTTTACCACATTAGATAGAAATTTACCTTGTGAAGAAAAATGGCAAGTAGAAGTTCCTTATTGATAAACATGAACCAGTGTTGTTTGTAGTGCAAACAAAATTTATATTATTAGTATTTGTTCTGATTATTATTAGGTCTTTCCACTTTTCTGTGGAAAGACCAATTGTATTTGTTCTGATTATTATTTTTATGCCCCCGCCGTAGCGGTTGGGGCATTAAGTTTTGCCCTTGTCCGTCTGTACGTAAGTCCGTCCGTACGTCCCAAAATTGGTTTCCGTTCTCTAACTTGAGTTTGCCTCAACCAAATGCTTATTACCACAAAACACAGATCAAGTTTGAATTTTAGTGGCGTCACTTTAACCGTTCTAGAGTTATGCCCCTTTATAAATGGAAAAATTGCAAAATTTTTAGTTTCCGTTCTCTAGCTTAAGTTAGCCTCAACCAAATGTTATGAAACTTATACACAAGGCTTATTACCTACAAAACACAGATCAAGTATGAATTTTGGTGGCGTCACTTTAACCGTTCTAGAGTTATGCCCCTTTATAAATGGAAAAATTGCAAAATTTTTAGTTTCCGTCCTCTAACTTAAGTTTGCCTCAACCAAACGTTATGAAACTTATACACAAGGCTTATTACCACAAAACACAGATCAAGTATGAATTTTGGTGGCGTCACTTTAACCGTTGTAGAGTTATGCCCCTTTATAAATGGAAAAATTGCAAAAGTTTTAGTTTCCGTTCTCTAACTTAAGTTTGCCTCAACCAAATGTTATGAAACTTTTACACAATGCTTATTACCACAAAACACAGACCAAGTTTGAATTTTGGTGGCGTCACTTTAACCTTTCTAGAGTTATGCCCCTTTATAAATGGAAAAAATTGCAAAATTTTTATTTTCTTCTAAATATCAAGTTATTTTTAAAATTGGAGTTATCTTCCTTTGTCCATGATTATAGTTGAATCAACTACAATGAATGCTTTATACAATGCAATGTTTATTTTTGACTTCCACTGATAAAACACAGATTAAGTTGAATTTGGGTAGTGTCACTTTAACCATTATTGAGTTATGCCCCTTTATAAATAGAAAAATTGCTGAATTTTTAGTTTCTGTTCTCTACTTAAGTTAGCCTCAACCAAATGTTATGAGACTTACACACAAAACTCAGATCAAGTTCAAATTTGGGTAGGGTGACTTTTACTGTTCTTCAGTTATGTCCCTTTATAACTATATGATATGCAAGCGGGGGCATCATCTGTGTCCACATGTGGACACTATCCACATTTATTTTTTTTCTTCTTCCGCCAAACCCTTTTCTTGCGGTATAAAGTTGTTTCGCAAGATGTCGCTTAGATATTTTGGATATTATATCGAACAGTTATTGCGCTTTTAAAACTTATCTTGTTAAGCCAAAGTCTTTTTTATTGTAAGAGTTATCTCCCCAAACACTGTTTTTCTTGTTAGTGTATGACAAGTGACATGTGACCTTGAAAAATATCAACCGAAAGTGACCTTGAGTGAACCGGAAGTAGTCATTTTTGCACTTATTTCATGGAAAAGTACCTAGAAACCATATATTTTTTAAATGGGCATACATTAACCTATCATTTGAGACCGGAAGTGACATTCTATAACAGGAAGTAGCTAATTATCTCCCTTATTACAGGCATAAGTATCAACAAATATATATTTTTGGAATCAATGTGAATAGAGCTACCATATGAGACTGAAAGTGACATTTTCTAAACCGGAAGTAGTCAATTATCTCCCCTTTTTACAGGCAAAAGTATATATGTCTTTAGACGTATAGATGTCGCTTAGATATTTCGGATACTATATCGAACAGTTAGCCGTATAAACCTAGAGTCTTTTTATTTGAGGTCCTTGGACCCAAACTAAGAAAGTGAGGTCAAAGTCTAAGGTCAAGGTCATGTTCTCAATTTTGACATTTGCTTGTTTTTGCATTTGTTCTGACACTTTTTAAGATATATATGAAAAAATTAGTGCAAAATGTTTGCTTTATTGTGATGAAGATATAATACATTAGGTCTGAAACAATCCAATGACATCTTATAGGAGTTATTGCCCCTGAAATGTTTTATTTTAGGGTAAATTGATTATTACTTCACATTGGTACATGATAAAGCCATAAGGTCTTTTGTAGAATGTTGGGTGACTTATGACCTTGCAAAATGTCAACCGGAAGTGAAATTGAGTGAACCGGAAGTAGTCACTTTTGCACTTATTTCATGGAAAAGTACCTAGAAACCATATATTTTTTGAATAGGCATCCATTAACCTATCATTTGAGAGCGGAAGTGGCATTTTATAAACCAGAAGTAGCCAATTATCTCCCTTATTACAGGCATAAGTATATACAAACTATATATTTTTGGAATCAGTGTGAATAAACCTATCATATGAAGCCGGATGTGATATTTTCTAAACCGGAAGTTGGCAATTATCTCCATTATTTCGGGCAAAAGTATATAGAAACCATATATTTATTGAATCAGTATGAAGAAACCTATGATTGGATGCCAATAGTATCTTTGAGTTAACCAGAAGTAGCTTCTTATAAATTGATGTGGAAAGACCTTCTATTGTTCTTTGAACAATTGGTTTTTAATTGTAAAATGAAATCCTTTTATTGTGCAAAATCAATGAATTTCACTTTTTAGGTATGAGGCATATAAATTGGTGATCTTTTAAGTTTTTTATAAATTTTTTATACATAAAGCTATATATTGTATCTTGACATATACTCTTCTCCAGGTTCTCCCTATGGCTTTGAAGCCCTTCATTGGCTTCAAACAAAACTATCTGTAGCTAAATTTCTAAGAAAATGTCTTCGTTTTTAGCAATTAAGGTGTATAATTATGTTAGCAATTAAGACACTAGTGGAGCTAATAGTCTTCTTACTAAGATGAGTCAATGAGTATTGGACTTGAGAAAATTAGACTGGACTCACTATTTTCTAAACAAATGATTTTCAAGCTGTATCAAGATAAGGGTTAAGTTAGGTCTTTGAGTGTTATACCAGATACATATTAAGTCTTCAGTTTTTATATAGAATTTAGAATTGAAGATGAATCTTTGGTTGAATTAATATTCATATCCAATGAGCATTTTTTCAACAGGACTAGAATATGTATGAATATGAACACTGTTATCTAACAGGTTAATTTGGATTGTTTGAAGGCAGACATTTCATTTTATCCAGACATTTATTTGACTCATAAGATTTATCAGTCATTTCTCAAATCCAATATGCCCCATGCTTTGTGGAGAAGCTGCAGATACCAGTTATTAAATTTGTAGTTTGGCCAATTTAGAGATTGATGATTTTCCCCCCAAGGCTATTATTCCATTTAAAGACTACCAAGTTGTTGAATTCAGATTCATAATAATAATACCTGCACCTGCATATAATCAGTGTAAATATTTAGTATATATTATTCCCTGCATACCAAATGAAATAAGTTTTGTTTGTTCATTAAAAGACACATTATGATATTCATATTTGCTTTCAGGATAAGGAACAACAGAAAATTAAACTACAATCAGCTAACAAAAACTTTGATGCTATGATAGAGTATTGTGAGTATGCCATGTAAGTATAGAAGGCTTTCTTGATTATCAGTAGGATTTCTGAAGTTATACAGACATTTTAATATTGTGCTGAACCTCTGTCTACAATGGTCCTTCAGAATGTGTATTGTGTTATCACAAAAAGGCAGCTAAAACATTACTGCCTATGCTGTAAACAAAGCCATCAGTTTACACTTTACTCTCATCATTTGATGAAGTTAACAAAAAAATCTTGCCATTATGTTTTTTCTATAGAATTGTTTCACATTTTGTGAAAACCAGGGCCTTTTATAGCTTACTATACAGTATAAGTTTTGATCATTGTATCGTGACCTGTTGTTATTTAGGTCTGATTCTGTTCAGTGGATCTTGATATATTCAGTATTTTAGAATTTGTAGCAAACCTACTCAAAGAATAACCATGAATAATTGTATCATGATTTACGATCTCAAAATCCATCTGTACATGCTATAGTGACCTTAGTGGTTCTTAACTTCTACATCATTTGGTCTCTAGTGGAGAGTTGCCTAATTGGCTATCATACCACATCTTCTTATTTTTATATGCAGGTTGTCATTTAAATCTATTAATCATACAGAACATTTTATCACAAATACCCAATTGTATAAAAACTTATTTCAAATTACTGAGTAATTTTAGGCTCTCATTCATATTTTTTACTGATAAAAAGTGTTTGTGAAAGGCGTTTTTAACATTTTGATGAATATACTCGACTTTTGAATACAGATTTGTGACCCAAAAGATAAGCATTTTAGATTATTTTTATCCCCCCGCCATAGCGGAGGGGGCATTAAGGTTTACCCTTGTCTGCCTGTCTGTCCGTACGTCCCGAAATTAGTTTCCGTTCTCTAACTTTAGTTTCCCTTGACTAAATGTTATGAAACTTATACTTATTATAACAAAAAACAGATCAAGTTCGAATTTGGGTGGCGTCACTTTTACCGTTCCTGAGTTATGCCCTTTATAAATGGAAAAATTGCTGAATTTTTCGATTCCATTCTCTTACTTTAGTTTCTTTGACCAAATGTTATGAAACTTATACACAATGCTTATTACCATAAAACACAGATCAAGTTCGAATTTGGGTGGCCTCACTTTCACAGTTCTCAAGTTATGTTCCTTTATAGCGTTTTATGCAAGCGGGGGCTTCATCTTTGTCCCATGGACACATTCTCCATATATTTTACTTGTATAGTCAAAATTTGAAATGTTTTGTTAACAGGAAAAAAGGGCATGCAATCTCATCTGACATGATACCAAATATTCTGACTTCTATAAGTCAGAAAATTACAACTTGTCAGAGCTCTAATTTGTAATGCATGCATTTCAGCATGTGCTCTTTTGTTTTATTGTTGTAAATTGTAAATATATGGAGAGGACAATGTTTTTATTGCTGGAATGTATTCAGCAAGCATGAAGCTGATTTACTAACAGTATACAGCAAGATGGCCAGACATATTGATAACTGCCTGATAGTCATTGGAAGTCTCTAAATAGATTTATTGGATGCACATATGCAGGAGTGATTAATAAATCATATAAAGAAAACAGCTGAAGTCTGAATTTTGTCACAGGACAGCTGACAAAATGATAACAAGCTTACCAACCAATACAGAAGATATTTGAAGAAAAATTAAGGTTAAATTGATTGAACTGACTTTTATATTTTTTGCAGATGTAGACATTGGGCCATCTCTAAGTATTTTGGTGATGTCAAACCAGATTGTAACAATAATTGTGATGCATGTAAAACTCCAAAAATGCTAGCCAAGACTATCGAAGACTTGCAGAGAGGAGCATATGCTAAAACTAAAGCTAAAGGAAAAGGAGGAATGTTCTTTATACAAGATGACAAAGATGATGCTGGGTTGTATGGTGGGGGTCGAATAGGGGTTAAGAGGTATGGTCAAAGATTTAATACATGATATATGATATTTTTTTAGATGCCAAAATTTTTCTCCCATCTCTTGAATTAAAAAAAATATTTCTGTCTTGGCAACATATATTATTTATTATATAATACAGTCGACTCTTGTTATCTCGAAGTCATCCGGACCGGAGAAATATTTCGAGATAACCGTAGTTCGACTCAAACGAAAACCGGAAGTTTGACAGACCAAGGGACACAACTCCTGCTTAGCTTGGTAAAGCTAAAATAAATCCGGATGAATATGGGAAGGGGAATTGATATTCTGGTCTCAGATCGATGCATTTGTATGTTATGGTTTTTCATTGTTATAATATTTTTTTTTCACTTATTAATTTCTTTGAATAGCTACAAGTTTTCCCTGTGGCTTTTGGCTGAGAGAGTAATTTGCAATCGATCTTAGCATTATTCAAGTCATTTAAAGTTGACAAAATTGTTCATTCTCGTATGCAAGAGATTTTAGAAAATTTAGATTTCTTTTCATTTTCTTTTATATCAATCTTTTTTTGCAAGAGAAAATACAAAAAGATTAAAGACACTGATTGATTAGTTTTTTTGTGATCACCAACAGAAGTCTTAATCCCCACTTTATACACACCAAAGCTCATTAGTGTATGATTACGATTAATCGTTTTTAAAACATTTTTAATAATTTTTCATAAACTATAACAATGTATCACTAATTATTTATCATGGTGATTAAAGATAATTTTGGGTAAACACTCTTGGAAAAAGCATGTCATAAATCAATACAGTGGTCAGTGACCGGACATTTAATTACACATGTATTGTCAGATTAACTCTTCGATCCATTTAAATCCCCGAGGTCACGTTTTGACATATGTGTATTAGTTCGAGATAAATAATGAATTTTGAATGATTTTGTTATCCTTGGGACCGTAAATTTAGTTCGAGTCAACCGAAATTTCGACTCATCCAATTTCGACACATCAGGAGTCAAAATACATATATTTATATGAAACAAAGTTCGGGACCACAAGAAAACTTTGACTCGTCTGAAATTTCGAGTCAACCGAGTTCGAGACAAAGAGAGTTAACTGTAGATAATGTTTATCATTCATGGAAAAAGTGGGATACAGTCCAACCTCAAAAGTGGAAATTGATGGGACCCAACATAAGTATTAGAGGTCAAATGTGTTCCACAAACATTATTCACAATGTCTTAATGAAGGAAACTCATTTCAATGTACAATAATGGGCTGTGTATAATCCATATTGGTACATTATCACCACAACCCTCTCCCCACAGGAATTTAGATAAAAACTTTTTGTCACTTGTCGAAAACGTCAAGCGAATCTCTGGTATCTTCAAATTGTATGTGATTGTTTGCAGTACTTTTATAGAAGACCAGTTTTCCATCACCAAATAGAAGTTGAAAATGTTTGTAAACGATTCTAGAACACTTCATGGGTGTAGGAATAAAAAACTTGAATTGAAATAAAATTTCTTAAAGCACAATTTTCAATAAGAGTTAAAGCTTAAAAAAGACGAAACTTTTGTTTATCATAATGTTATGATATTTATTTATTTATGTGTATTTACTGTAAGAATTTCAAAAGGATACACAGTCCTTAATACTTTGAATCAATGGATATTCCTGTTCAGTAATAGATACATGTATTCCTCTCTTGACACTCAATTGATGCACAGACTTTATAAAAATAAGGAGATGTGGTATGATTGCCAATGAGACAACTTTCCATCAGAGACTAAATGACATAGAAGTAAGCAACTATAGTTCACATACAGCCTTTAACAATGAGCAAAACCCATATTGCATAATAAACCTATAAAAATTCCTGAAATGACAAATGTAAAACATGTTAATGGCCTCATTTATTTACAAAACATTAAACAGGAAACAAATTTGATATAGAACATGTAATAACAACCACTGAATTACAGGCTCCTGACTTGGAACAGGCTGTGTTAATATAAAAATAAGAAGGTGTGGTACGATTTCCAATGAGACAACTCTCCACAAGAGACCAAATGACACAGAAATTAACAACTAAACATGTTTGTAGGAGCCCAACCATCCCGCTTATCTTGGACAGTGGAGTAACAGCACAACATAATACTTACTTGTTAAATACATTATGAATTATCCATTTTGATGTCTGTTTTAGTGAGAATAATTCCTATGAAAAGACATATGGAAGTGATGAGGAACGCGACAACAAAGAAAAACGAGAAGCTGATGAAAAACGACAGAGATTTAATTTTCTAAAGAGAGAGTTTAAAAAGAGGAAGAAGGTGAGAAATCAAGATAAGGTATAAATGTATAAATGAGTCCTAAACATGCCAAAGACTTGCACTACAGATACTTCAGAATCAAAGGGAAGTCATGGCACACACTACTTTAGAATCATAGGGAGTTCAGGGCAAATATTACTTCAGAATCATAGGGAATTCAGGGCACACACTACTTTAGAATCATAGGGAGTTCAGGGCACATACTACTTCAGAATCAGAGGGAAGTCATGACACACACTACTTCAGAATCAGTGGGAGTTCATTGCACACACTACTTCATAATCATAGGGAGTTATGGGCACCCACTACGTCTGAACCAATGAATCATACAGAGTTCAGGGCACACACTTCTTGATAATGATAGGGAGTTCAGGGCACACACTTCTTCAGAATCAATGAATCATATGGATTTCAGGGCACACGCTTCTTGATAATGATAGGGAATTCAGGGCACACACTACTTCAGAATCATAGGGAGTTCAGGGCAAACACTACTGCAAAATCATAGGTAGTTCAGGGCACACACAATTCTTCATATTCATAGGGAATTCAGGGCACACACTGCTTAAGAATCATAGGGAGTTTAGGGCACACACTACTTCAGAATCATAGGGAGTTTAGGGAACATACTGCTTCAGAATCATGGGGGGTTCAGGGCAAACACTACTTCATAATCATAGGGTGTTCAGGAAACACACTACTTCATAATCATAGGGAGTTCAGGGCACACACCTCTCCATAATCATAGGGAGTTTAGGTCAAACACTACTTTATTATTATTATAGGGATTTTAAGGCACACACTACTTCAGAATCATAGGGAGTTCAGGGCACACATTACTTTAGAATCATAGGGAGTTCAGGGCACACACTACTTCATTATCATAGGGAGTTCAGGGCACACACTTCTTCAGAATCATATGGAGTTAAGGGCACACACTACTTCATAATCATAGCGAGTTCAGGGCACACACTACTTCAGAATCATTGGGAGTTTAGGGCACACACTACTTCAGAATCATAGGGAGTTCAGGGCCCACACTACTTCAGAATCATAGGGAGTTAAGGGCACATACTGCTTCAGAAGCATAGGGCTATAGGGCACACACTACTTTATAATCATAGGGAGTTTAGGTCATACACTACTTCAGAATCATAGGGAGTTCAGGGCACACACTAGTTTATTATGATAGGGACTTTAAGGCACACACTTCTTCGGGATCATAGGGAGTTTAAGGCATAAACTACTTCAGAATCATAGGGTTTTAAGGGCATACACTACTTCAGAGTCATATGGAGTTCAGGGCACACACTACTTCAGAATCATAGGGAGTTTAGGACACATACTGCTTCAGAATCATGGGGAGTTCAGGGCACACACTACTTCATAATCATAGGGAGTTCAGGAAACACACTACTTCAGAATCATAGGGAGTTTAGGGCACACACTGCTTCAGAATCATAGGGAGTTCAGGGCACACACTACTTTATAATCATAGGGTGTTCAGGAAACACACTACTTCATAATCATAGGGAGTTTAGGTCAAACACTACTTTATTATTATTATAGGGATTTTAAGGCACTCACTACTTCAGAATCAATGAATCATAGGGAGTTCAGGGCACACACTACTTCAGAATCAAAGGGAGTTCAGGGCACACACTACTTCAGAATCAAAGGGAGTTCAGGGCACACACTACTTCAGAATCAAAGGGAGTTTAGGGCACACACTACTTCAGAATCAAAGGGAGTTCAGGGCATACACTACTTCAGAATCAAAGGGAGTTCAGGGCACACACTACTTCAGAATCAAAGGGAGTTCAGGGCACACACTACTTCAGAATCAAAGGGAGTTTAGGGCACACACTACTTCAGAATCAAAGGGAGTTCAGGGCATACACTACTTCAGAATCAAAGGGAGTTCAGGGCACACACTACTTCAGAATCAAAGGGAGTTTAGGGCACACACTACTTCAGAATCAAAGGGAGTTCAGGGCACACACTACTTCAGAATCAAAGGGAGTTCAGGGCACACACTACTTCAGAATCAAAGGGAGTTCAGGGCACACACTACTTCAGAATCAAAGGGAGTTTAGGGCACACACTACTTCAGAATCAAAGGGAGTTCAGGGCACACACTACTTCAGAATCATAAGGAGTTTAGGAAACACACTACTTCAGAATCATATTAAAGGAGTTTAGGCCACACACTACTTCATAATCATAGGGAGTTCAGGGCACACACACTACTTCAGAATCAATGAATCATAGGGAGTTCAGGGCACACACTACTTCATAATCATAGGGAGTTCAGGGCACACACACTACTTCAGAATCAATGAATCATAGGGAGTTCAGGGCACACACTACTTTAGAATCATAGGGAGTTCAGGGCACACACTACTTCATTATCATAGGGAGTTCAGGGCACACACTACTTCATAATCATAGGGAGTTCAGGGCACACATTTCTTCAGAATCATATGGAGTTAAGGGCACACACTGCTTCATAATCATAGCGAGTTCAGGGCACATACTACTTCAGAATCATTGGGAGTTTAGGGCACACACTACTTCAGAATCATAGGATGTTTAGGGCATACACTACTTCAGAATCATAGGGAGTTCAGGGCCCACACTACTTCAGAATCACAGGGAGTTTAGGGCACATACTGCTTCAGAATCATAGGGCTTTAGGGCACACACTACTTCATAATCATAGGGAGTTTAGGTCATACACTACTTCAGAATCATAGGGAATTCAGGGCACACACTACTTTATTATGATAGGGACTTTAAGGCACACACTTCTTCGGGATCATAGGGAGTTTAAGGCATAAACTACTTCAGAATCATAGGGTTTTAAGGGCATACACTACTTCAGAGTCATATGGAGTTCAGGGCACACACTACTTCAGAATCATAGGGAGTTTAGGACACATACTGCTTCAGAATCATGGGGAGTTCAGGGCACACACTACTTCATAATCATAGGGAGTTCAGGAAACACACTACTTCAGAATCATAGGGAGTTTAGGGCACATACTGCTTCAGAATCATAGGGAGTTCAGGGCACACACTACTTCAGAATCATATGGAGTTCAGGGCACACACTTCTTTATTATCATAGGGACTTTAAGGCACACACTTCTTCAGAATCATAGGGTTTTAAGGGCATACACTACTTCAGAATCATATGGAGTTCAGGGCACACACTTCTTTATTATCATAGGGACTTTAAGGCACACACTTCTTCAGGATCATAGGGTGTTTAGGGCACACACTTCTTCATTATCATAGGGAGTTCAGGGCACACACTATTTCATAATCATATGGAGGTCAGGGCAAACACTACTTCAGAATCATAGAGCTCTCAGGACTTGCACTACTTCAAAATCAAAGGGAGAGAAAATAATGAGACTTTAAAAATGTGTTTGTTTCATGGCTCTACAATATTTACTTGTTACAATACTTTGCCATTTGCATTCTTCTTATTACAATCTGTTTTTCTAGTTAATCCAATATGTTTATTTCATGCATTTTATAGTAGTGCATAATTAATTTTTTTTCTCTTAGTATTCAACTGTACAGCACTGTAGCAAATTTATAGAATACATAAGAAAGAAAAAGATATAAGTGTTACTAATTAAAATTCAATGGTGCAAGCAGTTCTGTATATGGGTCTTCAAATGTAAAGTACGAAGGAAGAGTAAGAATTTAAGGAACATAAATCAAAGAATTGAAATAAATCTTTTTTGTTAAAAAAAGAAAACAAAACTTATAAATATCTTGTGTTGGAAGCGGCTTTCTTGATTTACCTTCATCAGGAATGCTCAACAGCAAGTATTTAAAAGCCAATGATGTAGAAGAACCGAAACAGTTAAAGTGCTAGATGACCAAAAAGAACCTAGAAATAATAGCCAAATCCATCCAAGGTCAATTTTGCCTCAGGGAGTTTCTCAATAATTTCTAAATACATACCTGTCAACCTCTGAAAATGAAAATGCAGGTCAAGGTCATACCTGCATTGAGGAAGAAAAAGTCAGGTTATAACGCGTACAAACTTTTTTCAGTTGAATTTTAGTATTTAGAGGAATTTTTTATGACCACAAAAACATTTTGCTGTCGTATAATGGTATGAAGTTGTTGTTGTTGTCGTCATCTTCGTCGTCCAAAGAATTTGATTTCCAGACAATAACTTGAGTATAAATGTATGGATCTCTATGAAATTGTACCACAAGGTTCCAAACAACAAAAGGAAGGTTGGGATTGATTTTGGAGGTTATTGTCCTAACTGTTTAGGAATTAGGGGCCAAAAACAAGCATTTTTCTTATTTCAGGGAAATAACTTGTGTATAAGTGTATGGATCTCTATGAAATTGTACCACAATTTTTCTTACTTCAAAAGGAAGGTTGGGATTGATTTTTGGGGTTATGGCCCAAACCATTTAAGAATTAGGGGCCAAATAACTAGGATTTTCTGGTTTTTCTGACAATTACTTGAGTACAAGTCCACATTAAGGTCCAAAGGATCTCTATGAAATTGTACCACAAGGTTCCATGATTTTGGGGGTTATGGTCCTAACCGTTTAGGAAAAAGGGGCTAAAAACAATATTTTTCTAATACTTTGTATAAATTGCTTATTTCTTGACCAATTTCAATGGGTTTGATTCAAAGTCTTGAATTCTTGGGGTTCTTTGATATGCCTAATCTAATCGTGTATTTAGATTTTATATTTTGGGGCCCGTTTTCTAATTGTAACAATAAGAAGATGTGGTATGATTGCCAATGAGACAACTCTCCACAAGAGACCAAGTGACATAGAAATTAACAACTAAGGCTCCTGACTTGGGACAGGCAAATACAGAATGTGGCAGGTTAAACTAGTTATGTGGTGCCAAACCCTCGTCACATTAAGGTCCAAATGGTCCAAAATTAAACTTTGTTTGATTTAAAAAAAAATTGTATTCTTGAGGTTCTTTGATATGCTGAATCTAAC